CTGATGATGTCACCTCGGCTGGTGATGAAACGTTTGCAAACAAATTACCAAGCTCGGCGAACAGGTGAAATATAATTCAGTTCACCCGAGCTACGAGAACCGATTTTCAATACTTTGTCATATCACTGAGTGTCTCTAACCATCGGATACAATCACCCCGAGGTCCCCATCCAGGGAGCCTAACGGGATCTATGCGACCCAGCCCACCCGGTTTCGGTGTTTGTGGGAATCCTGCTATGGGCAAGCAATCACATCCAAAGTTGTGTGTATACGTGTGACTTGCAACGGCATTCCAGTCTGTGAAATCTTGAGCGATCATGTCCACTGACCATCGAAAAATGCAAAGCGGTAGTACTTCGTCAAATGCTCGAGAATCCTTATCGCGAATGTAAATGAGCTAAGATGGGGCTCGAGCCTGTCTTCCACTCTCAGTAGAAATTTTCTAGGACAAGGCCACCAATTAGAAGTTTATACAAACCTTCTTATCAGTTCACGTCTTCGCTGGGCACAATGCTTTAGTTGTTTGACAGAACACCAACTCACTTGAGGAAGGGTCGCTAGTCGTGTTCACAACGTGTGCTGTGCGTTCGGTGGGTCATTTCTCGTTCTGATGACGCAAACTGCTATGAGATTACGAAGAAGAAATTAAAATCGCCTATAGCTTCGCTCGAATGATTTCTTCCGCCCTTCTTTTGGGGCGTAGATCCGAACACAATTCAGTCATACTTTGAACAGATTTTCAAAAACCCNCCCCCCCCCGCTGAAACGATTTCTCGGAGCCGATCGTTGCCCCCAGAATAGAAACACGTTCCAACCGCAGTTGTTACCTAAGTATCGAATCGAGTTTTTGCTAGCTGAAAACTGTTTGTTGGTGATTTCGAGTTCGTCTGCAGGCTGAAATGCCATTTTAACGATGTTGCCATATCTTCGAAGTTGTGCTAATTTTTTCCTGAGATAGTCCTAGATTTTTCCTCAACTGTTCTATTAGATTTTATTCAGTAATAATGTGATTCACGTTAGTTAATATCTTGTTTGGGACATTTATCGGTAAAAACCGAGGCTCTATCTATTGTTTCTGACGTAGAGCGTATGGATACTAACCATTCAGAATGGTTGGGTTGATGGATACGTTTTAGTGCTACACAAATTGTCAGTCACTTGCCCGACCCCCCCTCCCCCCCCCCATCCCCGTCGTGAGGGCTCAGATCATTGCTCACTTATCGTGATTGTTGTTTCAGGTCAAGAACAATTTCTCCGCCAGTGTATGATGTCATTTCCTCACCAACAGTCCACATTGTGGCAATACACAGTACGGGAAATCAGTCGGATCAAACCGGGTCTCGCTCCTACCGCATTGACTCTGCTCACCCAGGCTATAAACGGTCTAGGTCCGACAATGCCAATGGGTGATGTGGCCAACGAACCGTGTACAACATGTGGTGAGCACTCCGCTCGAGGTGGCTCGGAACCAATCAGATTGTGCTCCAATTGTAAAGAAGTTGGCTACTGTTCTGTCGCATGTCAACGGCTGCATTGGTTTACGCATAAGAAATACTGTGCGATTCTGAAAGGTAGGATGAGACTAAACAATGATGACCTCTGTTTTTAGTGTTTTACTGTTGACAGGGCAACGTTGTGTGCTTTAAATCGGATGCTGACTGAACCGCACTGTGTGCATTTCCGTATGTCTTATGTTCGTACCCCCCCCATCAACAACTAAAGATGTCACTTCGTTATTGACAGGGTAATTTGTGCTTCAAATTGTATATATTTATTAATAAGAATAGTAGTAGTAATAGTTGTAATATTCTGTCAGACATCACCCACCGATTATACACGGAACTTAAACAGCATGTATCCACTCCCGTGCCCAGATGTCATTATAAACTTGTCTATACTCGAATCACTGCTTGCCTTTTGTCTTTCGAGATTTCTGGTACAGAAGTCATCTGTCAGAGACAACTTTTTCAAAATCCTTGGTGAATGATATCCGATTTCACACTGTCACGCCAACTTTCTCTCATAACTTTGCGTCGCTTTGTTTCACTTTCTCTCTTTGTAACTCTATTCGATGATAAAGGACCCTGATATGCGCATTCTACCACTGAACCACCGGCGCAGGTAAGTTGCAAGCTTTTTTGGATAGTTTAAGTGCCAGCGTAGCCATGTTCGGTATGGGTTTTGCACCTTCTAAGTGTAAAATGCTGCTACAAGACTGGGTTGGTCCAGCAAGTAGCCTCACTCTAAATGGGGAAGATACATCTCACCCGATGGACATCACGGATGAAGTGTCAGCTCGCATACAAAGGCTCGGTTCGCATTTGCTAACTTGAGACATCTGTGGCGCCGTCGTGACATCTGGCTGTCTGTGAAGGGTCGAGTGTATGCCGCGGCTAGTTCTGCTATACGGTGCAGAAACTTGACCAT